ATAATAAGATTTTATAACGATACTTTCAACTGTTAAAAAACTATTAAAGAATATCTTTAATTTTTCAAAATCTTTAACACCCTGTATCTTGCGTAATAGGCATTTCCGACCCATAGTGTGCTATATCAAAATTAATATTTCAACGTCCCCCATCGTTCCCCGAAAGCATGACCAACTTACAGGAATCACCCTGTATATTATAATCAAGGGTTCTACTAAATCAGTACACTCATAATTGAAAGCACTTTATAAAAATATATAGTCTCCTAGAAGCAAGAGTTACAAGTTGGATTTTTTGTAATGGAACACTCCATATAATAATTTATTTTCGACACTAAATTATAAAAAATTATAAATAATATTAGAATTAATAAATTGCATTAATTCTTTTCGGAATAAAAATTGAGGTTTTTTATTAAAGAGCATAAAAATATGCCTGTTTTTGACATATAGGGTCTGGCAATATCGTGCGTCGGGCATCTGTAGCTCCTAGAATAAAAAACTTGGGAATTTTTTTTAAGTGCAAATAACCTAAAGTATGTACTAGGATGTATTTCAAGAAAATATTTTAACTTCTATAGGGTGGCTCAAAGAAGTGTGAGTGGATCGGGATGATTTTTTTTAAATGGAACGCCTTGTATTTAATTGCATTTTTGGCTTCCTTTCAGATCACTTTATATAATCCTAAAACATGAGTAAATATATTTCCACAATTTCAGAGATATTAATAAATAAATAAAAATTATATGTTTCAGCCCTTCTTAAAAACATTATTAATATACAAGAACTGTCCTGAAATCAAAACTATATTAGGTATTTACGTTAAATTGTCTGTACTTACTTTGCTATAAATATGGAAATCGTAAATCATACAGGATGTTCAAAATTCTACGCCAAACTTTCTAAAATATAAAATAATTTTTCTTCTTTTTTTTAATGGAATTCTATTATTTTTTTCAATAGAGGGAGAATTAAAAAATGAACATTTTTTGTATTTAGAGTATTTCAAAATTTTTAACGGTTTCGCAGATATTCCCAGTTTTATATTTCATATGGCATTTTCCACAATAAATGTTTATCAGAGCCCCAACCAATGATTTTTCTCTCGTATTTTACCCTTGAAAGCGCCATATTATGCAATAATATGTATCTGCAAAACTATTAAAAATTTTGAAATATAATTTTTTAACCCTCCATCTAATAAAAAAATAATATACAGGGTGTTCCATTAAACAAAAACAAAGAAAAAATATTTTATACATATTTTAGAAAGTTTGTGTCACGAAAGATGCGCGTACAACTTATTTTAGATAGAACTATGGGAAACAAGAATTGGCCATTTTATCCGATAGTCAAGCAGCATTAAAAACGATCAACTCAGTAACTAACCATCAATTTTAAAATTAATCGGGATTAGTGCTTAAAAGACAAGTCGAAAAACAAGATAAAAAGCGAGAAAAAATATACAGGATGTCAGCTCTGTCTAATCTCCCCGTTGTAGAAGGTTAAATGGGTTTTGAAAAACTAATTAAGCTCTTCGGCGCTTTCACAAAGTGTATCCGTCAGAAGCTGTATAGTCGATCCGTAGCCGGTCGACCGGCTCCCGATAACGATACATTACGTTTGCCCGAGAGAAAAATGAGTTTTCCATTCAAATTTACGGCTTTTTTCCCTGCTGCGCGTTTTTCTGAGCGGAATTAATTAAGGTCCTCGTTCAACAGGAGAAAATCGGTAAAGGGAAAAAAATCTAATGTCAATTAGTTGTAAACGATTTTTCATTTATTTGCTTTACAGGTTGCCATCATCATTTTCAGCTTATACAACCATTTCCAATTATGGTGTAGTACTCTCTTTTTAGTTGGGCCCATTGTTGTCTATTGTTGGCTATGCGGGCCCAAATTATCCCTGCTAATTTCTTAATATCATGGTCCCATCTCAGGTTCGGTCTTCCTCTAGGTCTCTAGCGGCGACTACACGACAGAGACTTGCCTGCACGGTATAGTTTGCGCAAACTAGAAGGAACACTGTGCGGTGTCCACACGATGCAAGTAAGAGGGCGTAGATTCATCATTATTTTTATTCTGAATTTTTGGTTCCGTTGGTGGAAATGTCAAGTGATGAATTATTGTTTTTTATTGGTTATTGTTAAAGAAAAAAACAGCAAAATAATCGATATAGATCGAAGTGGAGTAAAAACTGACTTAAATAGAAAACCATTTTCTTGTACGCATCATTTTTTCTGTTTCTATCGGAATAATCTTTCAATTTTATCTTCCATAGACATGGTAGCGATCAATATATTTCAATAAAACTCGTCATAAACTCCTTATTGGAATAAGTACGAATATCAGACATTTTCTAAGAGTTGATAACTAATAACACAAAACCCACAAAAGTCACAAAACTGTACCTTGAACTCGCTGATACCGTCTACATGTATGATATCACCGCACAAACTGGTTTGCGCAAACTAAATCTTTAGCAGCGCGACGTTTACGCAGGCCGCACTTGTTGGTTTGTGCGTGCTACCATTTTACCGTCTACACGCAGCGACTATACAACCGACCCGATACAAACAAGTTTGCGCAGGTAAGCTCGTGATAAAGCTTGTACATGTAGCAGGCCCTTTAATTCCTCGTGGATACCATGCTGTAATTTTTGTAGTTCATCTGTTGTCTGTTCTTCTTGACAGGTGTGTTGCTCATTGCTATTTGAGGGATTTGACTCTGTGAATGACATCTATTACCTGGATCTTTTTTCGTATCCACACTATTATTTTACGGTCTCTTTGTTATTCCTAGCATATTTCATTCCATTGAGTGTTGTGCGACCTGCAGTTTCCTTATGATGTCCGTTTTAAATGTCCATGTTTCGCATGCACACGTGGTGGTACACATTGGTTGAATGTTTTCTTCTTTAGAGAAGAGAGTGGCATTCTAGATTTGAATATGGTTGAGTTTCTTCCATAAGTACTCTACGCTAACATAATTCTTCTGTTGATTTCTGGTAATGGAGAACCCGAGCTTTGTATTAGTTGTCCCAAATATATATGTTCTTCTACTATTTCCAGTGTTGTGTTATTTATTAGAATGTCTTTTCTTTCCATTAGTTTGTTGTGCATTACTTTAGTTCTGAGTAAATTCATTTTGAGACCCAACCAGCAATTAAGTGCTGGCTGTAATTTAGTTCATTATTTTTTTTTAATTAATAGTTCTTCAGGACTATTGACAATTAGGTCTACAGGTTGTAATACCAGTAATTTAGAAAAACAGGAAAAATTAAATATGAGATTAAATAAGTTAAAATATTGAAGTTAATATAATATTTCTACAAAATTACCGTAAGGCCATTATCGATTTTGTTATTGGTGTAGTTTTATACTCAAGTAGATACTGTGAATAAATTCTTATACTATGAATCTGAGAAAAAAACTCAATTGGGGAGTAAGTTTTTGAACCTACTAAAATTCGTGTAATACCGGGATTATTCCTGTTATTCGATTCGCATATTTGTGGTTAAAATCTTTGGAGCTATCATAGCAAAATAAAACACTAGTTCATCACAATACACCAAAACACATGAATTTTAATAGTAAACGTGCCTTTTGCTAAACATGTTAGGATCATCAGCGCCTGTTTAATGCGGATTTAAAGTTTTAATCAACTGCTAATTTAGCTACCATGGTTAGCGAAATAAGTGTTAAAATTAAAGTGTTTTGATATATAGTGGTGGTACAAGTATCTTGAACTCTAACAATACAAGGGAGATCTAAAATTAGTATAGATATCTTTAATAATTTTTTTTTCACCACCAAGATATAATTGAACCTAAACAATCTTTTAGATTTTAAATAAAGACAGTTTAAACTATCAGTTTTATATGTAAATCCAGTCGGCCAAGTTACGATCATTAACACGGATATCTACGTTCTACGAGTATAGTTTTCAATATGTCATAAATGTAAGTAATTAGTACAATTATTGAAGGTTGAAGGGGTGATTATTGAAGAATAATTATTGAAGGGGGTGACCGCAATAACCAGGCAGATCCACTTTTTTACAAAATCGATATTTTTACTAAATTGTTGTTTAAAAAATAATCCAATCGTGCCCTGTTACATTCAGATATCTCCATTTAAGAGACATAATAACGACATAAAAAATAAAACTATTTTAAAATCGGCCATAGTCTTCTTTATTTAATAGATTAGATCTTACTTGGCTAACCGGAAACAATGTGTTAAAGTCGGAAATGTAGTGTGAAATAAATGGGGCGTTCGAGTTACCAGACACCGTCCATTTGAACCCAACTCTTTTTAGCCTTTTTAGTTTCCACTTTATTTAAACGCATACGTAACCTTGTCTTCGCTTAATAAGTATAGAAATAATATGACTAAAGGGCCACATAATATTTAAATGCAAAAAAGAGAACACTTAAACAAACAAATAATATTACAAATATTTTTACAATTTTTTGTATAGATATTTTAAAAGCGATGCATTAACGATTAATAACTTTATAAGTATTACAGCAGCAAAAATTTCTAAAAAAATACGCAATACCAATTTAATTAGTAAGTTAAATAAATCCAGTTGCATTACAAAACCTTTTGTAGAGGGAAGGGCAGCGCTGGTATCGCTGTTTTAATTAATTTAATCACACCATGAAAATTAGATGATAAAGTCTACATCTCTGGAGAGATACAACAATGTTGTAATTTTAATATTTCTAATTAACCTGCTTAAGAGACGTGTGTAGGTGCGAGAAAACTATTATATTTTCGAGAGAGTGCACTGATTTTATTAGAAATGAAACAAACTAAAAATTTGAAAATTAAATCAGGCAAGTTGTAAAATAATTTTTTTTTAAATGTAAAATTTTTTATTCTCCATTTAAAGTTTTGACGAAAATTTCCACGCGTCCCTAAAGAATATCAATTCACCTTAGTGGACCACACTGTATATATAATTTTTCAATTCTGAGTTATATTACAAATGAACATGGGTAAAATTGAAAAATAATTATATGAGAAGTATTCGCAGGACTAAAAACAAGAATAAAATGATTGTAACTTTCGCTTAATTGGCACAATATCTTAAAAATTATGTTACAGAAAATGAAGACGTTAAATATTGATATGATTTAAGAATTTAATATATCCATTTTTTTGCTGTATATCTCCTAAAATTACACTGAATCAACGATTCCCGTCATCAGTCTCAACGGACAGCTGACCGATCATTACTGTTTACCCACAACAAACTCCAACCACGCGTCCCTAAAGAATATCAATCCACCTTCTCGAATTACGTAGCGATTAAATTCGCTCGAACCTGCCGCTGGAGGGACCCCCACTCCCGCTTATATTTATTTAAGTCGGCAGTCTTTTTGGCCCATTAAACCACTGGATTAGGTTTCGGGTAGCTGGATGAAGGGTGGGTAAAAAGGGTAGGAGGGAGGGGTGTGCCCTGTTGTCGCCTGACCGCAGTAATAACCTTTGCGATGAAAATTAATGTAAGGTTAATTTAAATTTAATTACATATTTTAAAATTATAGTGTTGTGGTTAGTCTTTTAATATCATTATAAATGTGTTAATAAATTAGCTGAAAATGTAATAATTAGATACACCATTTGATTATCTATTATAAATTTATGATATAAAAGAATGCCAGAATATAAATTTGGAGTCGCAAGATATCTAAAAATTTGATTTGATCAATACACGGAGGTCAACTCTTAACGACATTTAACAATATAATCATAGCCAGCAAAAATAGAAACTGTTATAGATAGAAAAATGTCTTTTATAATATTCTTTCTTTCGTATTAGTGTTCTCTAGAAAGTCTCTTTAATCTATTTGAAATTCCTTCATTCATGCCAATACTTTAAGCAAGTTTGTAAATTATTATCTGCTTTCCATTTAAAGTAACCTCCAAAACTGTATTGCGGTAACTCGATGGAAAGATACTTTCATTAAAGTAGCTAAATTAAAATAAAATTTGACAGGCCACATAACCAGAAAAAGAAATAAATGGAGTGGAAATTCTTAAAATCTAGATCACAAATCGGGAAATTTAATAAGAAAAAAAAAATGCCAATTGTGTTGGATGTATTGTATAAGAATAAAAACCAACTGAATTATCCAATTGAGTTTATAAAAAGTAAGAGCCGTGGATAATAGTAAAATGGATTGTATTTTGTTGATTACTAGGTCATTTATTTACAAGTAAAGAAACACTTTATAAATAAATCTTATATACGGTACTTTTATTTTTTGTATCACTTTTCGAATCTTTTTTTTATCACTTTTCGAACAGTGATAAAAAATACCTCGTTGACGCTGATACTACGCTTGAAAGCAGAAAAGGTTAGTTTGATTTACAGTTTTTCCTAAATACAATTTATAAATGTCAAATCTACTTGATTGGAAAATATTTCATATGATAAACTTAACATGGTCTAAAAGTATATGATCCAAAAAATAAACGAAGATCGCTGTCATTTTATATGTAAAATTATAGTGCCATCGTTCGTCATTTCTAAACCAACTGGACTCCGCTTTTATTCGATCATACGGTGCTTATTCTTAAGTTTATTACATTTAAAGATACTTATATTTTAACTAGCGTGTACCAGCGACTTCGTTCGCGGCGAATTAATCATTTGTAATGGTGATGATAAAGCAAAGCAAGAATTTCCATTAACATACAAACTGGATAAAATTTTCTCACATTTATGTCAGCATGAGAAAAAACAATATGGCAATATTATTATACAACTTGGTAATGTTTGAAGTGTAGTTTCATCTCGTTGGAATTTGACTTTCGAAAAATCCGTTTGCCAAAAATAAGCTTTTTACGTCAAGCAGTTTAAGCAGAACCGTGGTTAAGAAATTACCCAACTTTTTGGAACACCCTGTATAATTTTTTTAAAAATTTCAAAATATGTAAAAAAATCAAATAAATTATGCTTGTCTAAGCGTTTTCCCGAAAGACTAGCCGTTTTTTCAATAACAAATATTGTAATATTTGAGGGGCGTTTTCATCCTCTTGGAATTTGAGATTTGAGAAACCCCTCCTTATCGAACCTCTACACCCCACAGTCAATCCGTTTGCCAAAATTCAGCTTTAAACATCAAGCAGTTTAAGCAGAATCGTGATTACTCAATGGTCATATTTTATGAAACATCCTGTCTAAATTTATAAAAAATCTTAAAATATGTAAAACAACAAAATAAAATATACGTGTTTAAGAGTTTTTCCGAAAAACTCACCGGTTTTTAAATAAAAAATATTTTAATATTTGAGGGATAGTTTCACCCCCTTAGAATTCGAGTTTCGAAAAATCCCTTCTTATCGAACCTCTGCACCGTAAAGTCAATCCGTTTTCCACAAATCAGCTTTTTACGTCAAGCGCTTTAAGCAGGATCGTGATTAATCAATGACCAGATTTTTCGAAACACCCTGTATACATTTTTAAAAAATCTTAAAATATGTAAAAAACAAAATAAAATATACGTGTTTAAGCGTATTTTTCGGAAACTTGATCATTTTTTAAATTAAAAATATTGTAATGTTTGAGGGGTGGTTTCACCCTCTTGGAACTGGAATTTTGAAAAATCCCTTCTTATCGAACCTCTACACCCTAGAATCAACCTGTATGCCAAAATTAAGCTTCTTACGTTGAGCGGTTTGAGCAGGATCGTGATTAATCAGTATGTCAGTCACTTAAGGATTTTATATATTAGTACCTATAGATAATTATATTATATTTGTATATATAGGTACCTACCTTTTTTAATATGTAGTTCTTAAATAGGATAATTATGATTATGTAATACTAAAAGCTATTTCATTGCATGTTTGTCTAATATTTATGAATCTTCTAGTTCTAAAACTAACTCTGCAGTTTTTAGATTAATATTCTCTATGCATGACACAAGTTGTTCAAATGAACAGGATATTTATTAAAGACAATTTCTTATTGTAATGCGCTTTTGAATATCCGCAGAACAAAACTTAAATGACAAAGAACACGAAGAATGCATAAAAATATTATTTTCATATCATCATTTTCTAATTATCTATTAGATAATCATTTTTTTATTTACTTACAGAGTAGTCCGAAATTATTTAAAAATTCTATGAGTAATAACGAATTATTAAAACTTAATATTTATCTGTAAGAGATGGTTTGAATGTCAGAACAATTTACTTACCATGAACTATTTATTGTTTTACCCTAAATTGTTTGTTCTTATATCAAATAGGCAGCAATTCAAGTAAACAAGTTTTGTAGCGAGAAGTTTTAAAAAATGTATCTAACACGTAGAATATACTCGTTTGATAAAACTGAGGCATAACGATCATGCAAATTAGTTTCATGACTGTAAAGGTTGTCTAGGAATGAACATTTAATATAAAGAAATATATTCATATATTTCTTTACAATTTTTTTAATTAATTTCAGAGGATTTTGAAAAGAATATAGAATATTCCTAAACTACCTTTCTCATTCAAACGGCGCGCGAATAAAATTAATTAAACATTCTTATTTGACCGGGTAAAATTAAAAAGAGCTGTTCCTTATACATGAAAGACTCAGACAAAAAATCGAATATAAAATGAATCTCGAGGTATTTTCTCCTAATAAAGCTAAACACAAATGGAATAATGATCAGGCTTGAGCCGGAGGTATTCTCTGGGTATGCATACTTGATTAAAATTCATGTATGAAAGCCGGCGAAATCCAATAAAAAGCTAAGAACAACCTTCATAATGGGAGATAAAAAAATACGATTTGTTTTGCTGTGTATCTTTAGACCTTGTACTTCTTTTTCATTATACCAAAGAATATATTACCATAATAATAAATAAATCAATTGGGGCTTCATTATTCCCAGTTTATAAAATCACGACTTACATTATATATTTATTTCTGCTGAATTAACATAATAATATAAATAAAAAAGTGCAGATTTAGGAAACTATGTTCTTTTTTAACCCTCCAGTACTCACATCGGGTATTTAGATATCCCACTCTAAATTTTATTAATATATTTTTGTGTATATAGATGTGTGTGCTAGAAGGTAGTCGCGTCAAAACTGGCAAAGCAAGGTCTTATTTATATCCCAGAAATAATGACAGAAAAACCGAGTTATCTGCCACAAGTGCACCAAATGAATATGTAAAATCCATCAACAAAAGCCTTGCAAATGAGGCCTTAGTTGCGACAGTTTTGTACAGCAAAATAACCAAGCTGTAATAACTCTGGGACTAAGCGTATTATTGCTTTCTTTTTTCTCGAATGATGTTAACATTTGTCTCTAAAGTTGTATCGCTATCTTAATTTCTATGAAAATGTGACATATCTGGTTTTTCCCGTATAGTCTTCATTTGTCCATTCCATTTATTGCTGTGTTATTAATGTAAATTTGATATTATATAATCTATTATTGTTTTAACGTTTAAATTATCCGCAATTAACTCGAAAAACACTACGATCCGGAAATAAACGGGACATACTAACTAACTAACAGTACAATTATTTGCACAATCGTTTTTTGCGCCTCGGCAAGTATAGACAAGGCTGGCCAAGTACAGTTGGCAAGTGTACGAATAATTATTGTGATTCTTTGACTCGGGCTATATTTACCGACAGAGACTGGGGACGCGCCGAGTGACCAAGGAAACCGTTCTCCCGATATAGCTGATAGCCCGACATGAGTCGTGAGAATGCGCCTTAACATTCTAAAACAACAAAAAATAATACGTTAATTAAAATTCTACCAATAACAATCTATCAAAGAATGAAAACGAAGTTATATTACCATAGAAACGCATTTTGATTTTTAGGACTTTTAGGAAATTCAACCATACTTTCATGTTTTTCTTAATTTTCTTTGAAACTGTATGGAAATTTGAAAAAGTATAAACGGGATTAACCATTTTAGAACAAGCAAAAATTTTATGAAAAATGCATTTTCTCAAAATTTCAGTAATAAAAAAGTTTTTCCTCTAGTAAAGGCAATCCGGGGACATACTGTATATAATTTTTTATCTCGGAAAACTGAACATTGACATTGTCAAAATTAGTATTGTTCTACTTCTCTAAATATAGACTAAATAATTTATATGAATCCCTTGCAAATTTTCAAAAAAGTTGCAAAATTTTATGCAAATCAAAGTTTAAATTTGAGGAATAGATTTTTGAATAAATGTTACTGACTGGCTATAAATAAACTGACATAAAATCGTTATAAAAGTTCTAAGGGATTTTGGATACAATAGAATCCCAGTTAATCCTAAACAAACTTTTTTCATTTAAGGCTTGAATAAAATAAATCGATTATTTTTGAGTGGCCGGCATATTTCAAAAGGGCCGTTGGCGTTGCTTAGAAATGAACAGTCGAGCAGTTAAAGCGAATATAAAGTGAATCCCGAGAAGTTATCTTGTAATAAAGGTAAAAGGTATGGAATAATGATTGGGCTGGAGGCGGAGGTATTCTCTAGGTACCTGTCAAAATGTGCATGCCTTGTCAAATGCCAAATACTAAAGTTTATAAAAAACTTAATTTACGAATTATAGTTGATATAATTATACACAGTTTGCTAAAAAATTTATGAAAATAGGGCTAAAAATAACAAAAATATAACACTTTAAATTTGACCAAAAATTCCTCCGTTACGTTTTTTTTGCATCTGAGTGTGTATATTCTTGAATAAATCTGACTGCGTTAATACAGTCCGTATAAAAATTCTAGGAGATTTTGCAGATAATCTGCTAGAAATCTACCAGTTAATCGTAAACTGCCTCTTTCGATTTAAATTGTGAGTAAAATGAATTAATTATTTCTATTGAGCCGGAAAAATTAAAAGGGCTGCGCTTTAGAACCGAAACAGTCGTACAGAAAAGTCGAATATATAATGAATCCCGAGAAATTGTCTCTTAATAAAGATTAGCAGATATGGAATAATGATTAGGCTTGAGGCGGATTATTTGCTAAGTATGCATACTTTATTAGAATGAATGGTTGAAAAGCCGGTATAATCCAATGAACGGCTAAGAAAAGTGTTATAACCGCGTTAAAAGTATTATAAATATATATTAATAGGAATTGCTCCCATAATACAAAGCCAAGCCCTACGTTGCCTTGATTTTAATTCTGTTTTCTCTTAATTGTTATTTTCTACTTTTTCATTGCATTTTGTAACTTGAATTCACTGTACTGATGAAGACCAAGAACCAGAAACGTGTAAATTACTTTCTAGCAGGCCTTATGGCCTATTATGGTACCGATATTTCATTATTTTTTTATTTGCATTCCAGCAACATTGTTTCCGCTTTTTGATATTATTACCAGGTGATGATACAACAGCGGGTAGTTAGTTAAAGCCACAGCAGTTTTGGATGAAGCCTACTACTTGGGATACGCTCTCATACACTTTTTATAAAACCATAACCAAAAACACATATCTGCGGTTAATGACTTTCTAGTTGGCTATACTAGTAATGATATCCTTTTCTCTGCCATATTGATTTTTCTTTTTACATACCTTAACTAAAATATACAAAAATGGGCTAAAGTTATTGCGACTGATTAGTAGAAGGAGATGACCGGTTCACCATCCTCCTACTGGTGGTGGAGTGACGTCACGTGACGTCATCAGCCAAGAACGTGTAAAATATACTAATAAACAAGAATAAACAGGTTTAAACAAGAAACAACCGCTTTAAAATAAAAATAAAAGAGTTTGAAGACAAATTAAACATAATATAATAATTAATATATATTGCTAATTTCTTTATGGAGAGATTTGAAGTCATCCGTTCTGAAGCCCGCTGTATGGTTTCGTTATGTGGACGATACATTCGTTGTGTGGAAACATGGACGTGACAGACATAGATGACTTCCTTCATCATCTTAATTCGCAGAGCTCGAGCATAAAATTTACCATGGAAACCGAAGTAAACAACCAACTGGACTTCCTCGATGTGCTTGTCAAGAAAAATGGCGAAATTTGGATCACACGGTGTATCGAAAACCCACTCATACAGACCGGTACTTGCACAAGCTGTCAAATCACCATCCAAGCCAAAAACAGGGGATTATCGGAATATTAGCAAATAGGGCAAGACGCATTTGTGCTAAGGAACACATCCAAGAGGAACTAAGCCATTTAAATAAAGCCTGTCTTGCCAATGGTTATAATGACAGAGAACTAAAGGCGGCGCTGGCACCTAGGCAGAGGAGACCTGATGTCAATGAACAGGAAAACACCGTTAATAAGACCTTCGTTCCATATGTTTCCCAGGTCAGCATAGGATTGGTAAAGTTCTCAAGAAGCATAACATCAAAACCATATAAAAACCTACCCGGAAAATAAAGGACTGCTTAAGACCAGCCAAAGATAAAAGGGAACCATTATCCTCTGCAGGGATCTACCGTATACCTTGTTTTTGCGGTAGCGTATATATTGGAACTACCAAACGCTCAGTAGGAATGAGACTTACAGAACACAAGAGATGCTGCAGATTAGGGCAAACAGAAAAGTCGGCCGTAGCAGAACATGCTTTAAGAGATGGTGACCACAATATCCAATTCGAAGACACCCAAGTCATTGCCACAACATCTGGATCTCATCCTCGTCTGGTCAGGGAAGCTGTTGAAATTCACAAACCTCCAAATAACTTCAACAGGAAGGAAACTTTCTTCCTTAACAGAATTTAGCATCCAGCTATATCTAGGACCAAAATAGCAGCACAGAGAAGTAGATCAGTTCCGGAAGAACTACCACCGGAACAAGCCAGGCCCCCTCCGTCGACGCATAAATATGCGCTACGCCGACGCGGAGGCATCAGCCTAGTGTGAGCAGTCGGAGCAAACAAACCTCTGAAGATCCTAGCCACTCGTGCTAGCGAAACGTTACGAACCAATTCCAACTGACGACGGCCTAATAACCCGAAAAACAACATTTTTTCAAACGATGGCCGCAAAAGCGTAAACAACTACAAAAAATAAACAGTTTGTTGTTTTATGCTAAAAAGCTGTTCAAAAGCGGTTCAAACCTGTTTATTCTAATTTATTAGCGTATCTTACATGTTTTTAGCTGATGACGTTACATAACGTCACTCCACTACCGGGAGGAGGATGGTGAATCGGCCATGTCCCTCTACTCCGGTTGCTGCTTTTAGCCACCTCCACAGCTGTCCTAAACGAATCCTGGAAAACTCTCTCAAAGATAGAGCTAATATAATATAGATGGCGGAGAATAAACATTTTCAGTTCACATTTGTTTCTAATAGTAATTGCTTATATTTCATCATCAGCCAATATTCGTCTGAAAGCGTGAAAATACCGTACTGATTAAGGTCATAGGTCAGAACCACCGGTCATTTTTCGGATGAGCTATGTTTTTTTTAATTTACTTTTCAGCAATATTATTATTTTTTTTTAAATTACTTTGTTAGGGTTTTAGTACCGGTCTTGTGTTGGTTACCTCCACAGCAGCGGACGCTGTTTAGGACAAAGCCCTCGTCTTATATAACTCTAATTTTGACCAAAGTAAATTGATGGTTTATTCTCATGTTTGCTTGCATTCTTGAAATAACTAAAACTATTAGTTTTAGAAAATAGGTAAAAAAGTCTAAAAATATAGCATTTTAAATTTTAAAACAAGTATAAAATAGTTTGTTTTATTAATGTTAATTTTGCTAAAAACTAACGCTCAATTTTTTTATAGAGATTTTTTAGAGACATACTAAAGTTTACAAAATTATTTACGCCAAGCTTTCGCCTTTGCGAACTTTAAATTTAGATGATAAAATTAATTAAACATTTCTTTTCGCCTGACAAAATTAAATACGACAGACAGTTTTTTAAATATTAAACCAGGCGCTGAAAATTCAAATTATAAATGAATACTGACAATTCTTTCCGTATTATTATTAAACCGAAATGGAATAAAGATGACTTCAGCTGGGCTTATTCTCCAGGTATACATATTTTAACAAGCTCATTACTTCAGAATGTACAGGTAATATGTGATAAAATCCTAGAGAGTACAAGAAATAATAATAAATATATTGAATAAAATGATTAGAGGTTTGTGTACCTTCGATACTTTTATTCCCAATTTCTAAAAGTTTCTCTGTAATGTGGTTCATAGGTTTTTTTTACAGATACACAGAACGTATGATTTATCACATAATCTTAACAATATTGATTGAGAGGCTTTACTAGGCATATGTACTCAGAGTTGTTTGCCATTGCTTATTTAAAGTTTCTCTGTAATGTGGTTCATAGTTTTTTTTCACAGGTACACAGAACGTATGATTTATCACATAATCTGAACAATATTGATTGAGAGGCTTTACTAGGCATATGTACTCAGAGTTGTTTGCCATTGCTTATTTCCGAATGCTTTTTCGAAATACTAAAGAAAAAGTATGGTGATTTTACTTGCATCAAAAATAGCGTTTTGTAAGAAAAATGTATTATACAAGAGACGACCTGGCAAGTTAAAAATGATAAGAAATAAGCATTTTTCACTTCGGGCCAGATGAGCTTTTCTGTAGTACTGTTGGTACTTATTTTCCTCATTCTCGCCAACTTTTTTCTCCAAACTTGATAGGCATCCCTGGATTTTTTTTGATGTTGGTCGTTTTTCAGGAATAGACCAGCGACCATATGCTATGAAAAAACTCTTTAATCGTATGGTACGAAACGTCTGATTTGGTGTCGTTGCTAGATGAAATCTAACTTTCATACGATTCTAAGTGGTTATAAATTTTGAAACGGCTCATTTTGTTTGAAGTTTTTGGGAAATTTGGATTGGTTCAGGAAGAATTTGTCACAAAATAGTTTATTCAAAAAGATGTACAAAAATATGTGCATTCCTGTTAATAAAAAGTTTGTTTGCAAGTGCTAAACCTCAAATTCTGTGAAGGGTTTGTACCGCCGCGCCGGTCTTACCTACCTAAAATACTATTTTAGGTAGGTAAGACCTTTAATACCTATAATACTACCAGTAATTATAAAAGCTAATTGTAGAACTTAGATTAATTTGTTCAAAATCTTTATATCTCAAAGAATTAAGTGATAACACAAAAGACTCGAAGCCTTATTGTTCTATTCTTTCATAAAACAAATGATTGTATTTAATATAAAGTTGTAGAGACTACCCATTCTGCAATAAGCCAAGTTTTACAGATTTCCCTGTTTTGTAGGTTCTCAAACATAGATTATAATGAACAAAGCCCAACTAGAAAATTGAACAAAAAATGAATAAAGAGTAAAACAAACCAGACAAACCGTATTATTCCGTTCTTTTGTAATATAATCCGCTCATTTCATAGTTCTAGTCGGTGTACAATATAATTTTTAATAAAGTATGCACGTCTAGAGAATATCTGAATAAAAGCCTTATTCCCATTCATGATTCTATCATTGCAGAAAATATTATTTTATCCAAATTTATTTTATATATTCATATCTTTATTTATAAATTAAATTCGTAAAGATTATTTTTAGTTCAAAGTTATATGAACTTTGGATTAACTATTTTTTAATCTACAGGGTGATTCCTGTAAGTCGGTCATGTTTCGGGGAATGATGGGGGACGTCGAAATATTAATTTCGATATAGCACACTATGGGTCGGAAATGCCTCTTACGCAAGATACAGGGTGTTAAAGTTTTTGAAAAAAATTAAAGATATTCTTTAATAGTTTTTTAACAGTTGAAGGTATCGTTATAAAATTTTATTATAGAAGTCTATCTAACAGAGATACTTTAAATGTAAAGAGAAGAGGTTTTAGTTTCAACCAGTGGCGTAGCTGTGATACGCATCGGGTAATATTTTCAAAAAAAAATAGTACGCCACTGATAAAAATAAAAAATTCGGAGTTTTTTTTTATTTACTCGGTTTATTTTCAAGAAAAAATGTCTCTTGCAACTTTTTTCTATCTAACACCATTTTGACACAATTTACAAGTAAATATTTTTTTAATGAGAACCTTAAATATGCGAATTATTATAAGTACCTTAAAACTAAGAATTTTATTATTAACAATAAAAAAATTCTAGTTTAAATTTATGTTTTAAAAATATATTTAGAGCTAATAGTAAAAAGTACCAAAGTTACCCAAGATGAAGGGAGCTAACGATGCACATGTGTTTCTGCCCTCTAGTTATAATAATTCGCTGGTATTTAAGATTCTCATTAAAAAAAATATTTATTTTTAAATTGTGACAAAATGGTGTTACATAGGAGAAAGTTGCAAGAGACATTTTTTCTTGGAAATAAACCGACTAAATAAAAAGTCCAACATTTTTATTTTTATCAGTGGCGTACTATTTTTTTTAAATATTACCTGATGCGTATTACATCTACGCCACTGGTTGAAACTAAAACCTCTTCATTTTACATTTAAAGTGTCTCTGTTAGGTAGACTCCTATAATGAAATTTTATAACGATACCTTCAACTATTAAAAACTATTTTAGATTTTATAAGAATATTTTTAATTTTTCTAAAACCTTAACATCCTGTATCTAACAGCACTAGTGCTATTATGAAAGCCATAATGACATCCAAATGACAATGTTAAATGTGTCATAATGAGACATTGTCCTAGATTTAAATATTTAATTTCCTTTCAAAACACATTTTTATTAGTCTTTTTCATTAAAATTCTAATCTGTGATGTCCTGAATACAGTAAATATTTTATTTTTAACGATAATTTATTCTCCCCGCCCCCCCAACTGAGTGACGATTTAATTTATCCACCCATCCGAAAACCTTCTTCCACTGACCCAGTAAAATAATTAACTTTTTACGCAGTGGTCAGACATGGTCACCTAATCGAATAACAATCGCATTAATCTGGCACCGCAAGATTATCTTGAATTACTGCCTCGTATCTAGAGGCAGGCAGGTCGAGACCGGTACAGATTGAGTTAAAGCATCCGCCGGACCCTAGTAATTGCAGAAGAGGACTCCGATAGAATAGGATTTGGTTCAAGAAATTGTTCTGCACTAGCAAGTAGGTTGATGATATGCTCCTCGAGTTTGACGATAGACTTATCGCAAATGTTATATAACATATTTGTTTTAAAATATATCTATACAGGGTTGTTTACCACATACGATACGGAGTATTGTAGCGAAACGATTAGATTTCTTCAAATTGTAAGTTTTGGGGTCGTTGAAGGACTATTAGACCTAACCAAACCAAAATGAATAAAAAATATCAAAGTTGCATTTTTTAAATGGAACACCCTGTATATTATTACATTTTTAGTTTCTACGATTAAAATAAAGGTAAATTTAAGTGTTTACCGCATTTTAATCTTACCGTTTTTGAAATATTTAAGTTTTTGTCAAAATACAGTAATAATTTTAATGCTTCATTTCTCTAGGCGTATTTAAGTTCTTAAAACCAAATTTGTACTGAAGTATTTCTATTTACTAAATTTTATGTTGCAATAATAATACTTATACTACCTTATACAGAGTGTCTAAAATTTATTTTAAATAATTACTAGCTTTAAACGGCAATAACTTGTTTAATTTAAATAGAACACCCTTTATATTTTAGGAGAATCAGATGTAAAATTTAATTGTCTATCAAATTGTATTATACCATTTTTTACATATCTTTTCAAGTTTTCGTAGAAAATGCATTTCCTTATAATTTAGACCTCATTTATCAATATACCCATGGAAT